AATGTTAGCCAACTTTGTGATAATGACTCCTTAAAATTTGTGTTTAATATCAATACAATTTAGCATACATTATTAGAGGGTCAGACATAGGCCCTCATTATATTCTATACTGGTTTCAGACCACATCATAAGTATTAGGTTAATTTCAACTTCTTCATTTGAAGATAAACATTAGAAAATCATAATCATTTTAATGAACAAATGAGATGATAAAGATTTAAAACTATTTCATGAAGATTGAGTAAAAGAGTTATGAAACCATCATATCAAAGAAGAATTAGACTCCTTGTGTAGTTCCAGAGGGTAATTCTAAGGCTATCTGAACTCAATTTCAGATCAGCATAATAAAAAACTTTCCAACAGTTTGGCGTATCCATAAATGGAATAAACTACCTTGACAAAGTATTGACCAATCCATTTCTGGAGGTGGAGATAAGAGTTGGATAGACCCTGTCAAGGATGTTGTGAATGGAATTGTAGATGAGATTATTTCTAAAAATGTTTCGAAGTGAAGGATTTCTGTGAGCCTATGAAAAATGCATTTGTCTTGAATTTGTTCTTTTTTTTGTAGCATCCACTAATATATTTATTACTTGTTCTGCATTCATATTGCTGACTTAGGAATTTAAAAGAAGAAAAAGACTTGGGTTGCTTTTATCTAATTTTAATAAAATAATGATGATACTTTTCACTTATGCAGCACTTTTCATCCAAGGATTTCAAAGTGCTTTACAAATATGCACTAATTAAGCCTCACAAACAGCCAGAGGTAGGTGATTTTTTTCCCTTTTTACAGGAATGCGAACTCTGGCACAGAAATTTAATAAGAGCCTGAGAACTAGGATTCTTTAATGGCTGCCATGCCCTTGTAATGTGCTGCATGTGAAGCGTCACTTGTCATTTACAGATGTCTTTTTTTCTGCTCTGAATCATCTCAGGTTTACAATTCTAATGAATGTTGTTAAAAATTTGTTTGAAGTCCTGTAAATATTATAGAAAATTCAGTCTTCTGCTTGCTGAATGCTAGTTAGATTTCTAAATTTGTTTATTTAAAAATAGACTCTAGATGTGGTTTTATATTTGTTGTTGGATTTTAAATATAATTCTTCACTTTTAAAGAATTTGTCATTTTCCTTTCTAGCTACCCAATAATCACTATTCTTAGGATATAAAACTTAATAGCAGATTTGTTTCCCTTATCATTCCTAGCTAACTTCTCACAACAGACAATAACCATTTTCTTTGGGCCATAATTATGTATTTTCAAGAAGAGATACTGCATTTTGGTAATTCAGAGTTCTGGAATATATTATCCTAAACATTAAGGGTAAAGTTAAGTGACACTAAATAACCTAGTCCTATAAAGAAAAAATAGTACAGTAGTGACATATGCTAATCTACAGGGACACACAACTTTTTATGTAGGTTAGGAGGAATGGGAAGAGAATATGTATATACAGGGAGACACATGTGCAGGATTGGATTAAATTCCAATATAAATATCCAAATATATTAATACAAACTCTTATCTGAAACAGAATGGTCACACAGGACAAGAGCAGATGCAGCATATCACAGCTTAGTTTCCCTTGGTTCTCAGAGTCCCCAGTGAGGGCATACAAGTGTGTGTGATACTGTTTAGTCTAAGTCAGGTCTTTAAGGATCAGGAAAGCACAATATTTGCCGAGACACTGCTCTTTTATATTTATGGTTTCTATCCCCTTACAGAAGAACTTAACATAAAGAATTTCTCTGCTCCTATTTAAAGGAAAACTTATTATTAGGCTCTCCTGGTTTTGGACGAGACTCAGCGTTAGCAAGACTACGTCCTTATCTCAAGAGAGAAAGTAGAGTTAAGTGTCTGCATATTCCAAAAGAATATCTATCTCCGGGTGTTAGGGCCCTGGGAAGCCCCGTTTCCCCACTATATTAGAAAGAACCAAATAAGAGAGATTAAAGAAGCAAACTATTCTATTTCACAGTGAATTTAATTATGTGGATATAGTTCATCTTCCATAATACAAAAGGACTTAGGACTTATGTCAAAGTACCCTCCAAACTGGTCATAATGCTTTAAATATTCTTTTCTTTAAATAGCAAGTTGATCTGTGATACATGTTAGATAATTCCAGAAAAGCTCATTTTAATGGTCAGTTTCAAATTTTCTCTTGAAAATTTATACCAAATGATATGGAAGTTCAGAAAATTAAATGATGTCCTATACACTATAATACACAGTTGTCTGTGGGTGAACTATTGTCTACCTAATTAGAACTTTACCACAGTAACCTTAAAGACTGTACTATTCAAGACCTGAAACTTGCAGGTTCCGAAACTCAGACTCATCAGTGCTAATGGGTTGGTCTCTCACTGACTTGAGGGTACAGATTCTTATCAACATTGCACATGATAGAATAAGAAAAGAAAAAAAAAAACGATATCAATTTGGTCATTTACAATGAAAGGTATAGCCACCAGCCATATTGGGTAATGTGTTAGTTTATTCTTCACCCTTTTGGCAAACCCCGTGAGATAACAATAATCAGAAGTTTGCCTATTAGTCATAGAAACTTTAAAAAAAAGAGTTATGCACTTTGAATGTAGAATAGTCTCAGACTCTGAAAATCTATTAAGTCCACTTCCTCAATGAGGACAAGCCTACCAAAAAGATCAGATATTCCTGAGGGTGTTATAGGTTGTCTTATCACCAAGTAATTCCTTGAGTTGCTACTATCAACGTTGCAGCTAAGAAGCTCATTCTGTGCCAACATGGCTTTCAAACTCCCTTCTAAGGATCATCTTTTAGATAGAATTATAGTGATATTGCTAACATATCCTCTGTGAGATGTTCTGTTTTGTAAAGCCTTCACATATTTCTTCACTGATCCCCTGAGCCTCCTGTTTCCAAATTCTTGAAAAAGATCTCACCATAGGCCCTAAATTGAGAAACAAGGATAAAATTAACTTGAGTTTAACCAAAGTCTACTGCCACTCAACCTCAGAGACAGTCTTAAAAAAGTGTAAGGAGGCTGGGCGCAGTGGCTCTCACCTATAATCCTAGCACTATGGGAGGTGTGAGACCAGCTAAAGCAAGAGTGAGCTCCCTCTCTGCAAAAAATAGAAATAGTAGCCAGGCATGGTGGTACACACCTGCAGTCCCAGCTCATTAGGAGGCCGAGGCAGGAGAATCACTTGAGCCCAGTAGTTTGAGGCTGCAGTGAGCTATGATGATGCCACTGCACTCTAGTCCAGGCAAGAGTGAGACTGTCTCAAAAAATAATAATAATAAATATGTAAAGACTGGTTTAAGGCAGATAATAAGTAGAAAGGTGAAGAAGGAACAAGTTGAAGCCCACAAGCTATATAATCATCACATGTAATTTGGGGGTTGTTTAGATATATGAGTATTTGTTAGCCTTAGTACTTCAGAAGAGTTTTCAACAACTTTCTTTCAAATTTTAAAGTGATACAGGTGTCTCTTAGTTCATTGACTCTGCTAACTTCTGAAAGATCTTTTAAGTTACTCTAAAATAATATTGCCTGTCATCACAGAATTTAACTTTTCTTCCCATAGGACTAAAGTAGGAAAGGGTGCTTATATTTTTGCCATTTCAAAATAAAATGCAGACAAAAATTTCAAGCAACCTAGAGAAACTATAGACAGAAGTTTTGATATAGACAGAGCCCAAAAACTTTGATTTGTTCATAATCACTTACTACAAATGCTAATATGAAACTTATATTTCAGAAATTCCATTTTCCTGAAGGGTAGATTCAAATGAACAATATGTATTTTGATTCTTTAAATTTACTCTTTAGTTCTATCCTAATCCACGTACCACATGCACATTATTTAAAACCTTAACGCTTTAATAGTAACTTATAAAGTGTTTCAACTTAATCTCATTTTAGAAGAAGTTAGTGCCTATGTGACTATATTATTTAATCATAAAATGATCATTCCATTGACTTGGCTAGTACAATCTCAAATAATCTTAAATCATTTAAATATAATTTTTCAAAGTTTACATTTTTGCATTATAAGTGGTTTCCTTTGATTGGAAATCAAGCTCACTAGAATTCACTGCATGAGCTATGCATGAGCATGTTATAGCTGCCATATTTGCCTGGGAAAAATAAATATTCTATCATTTTTCTAAGTGTTGCATAATTCCTTGATCCTTAAAAATGGCTGTCTGTGGAGAACAGATTTTCCTCTAAATTAATTAATAGACCAAAGAATAATTTTTTAAAGAAATCATAGTTTATCCATGCCTCAAGCTATCTTTACAACTCTGAAGGTTATCTTTGAGCTACTGTTATTTCTGTAGAATAAGCTGAACCAGAATTTATAATTGTCTGCTGTCACTCAAAAGAAATATATACTATTTAGTAATTTTTTTGTATTGAGGATTCAGAAGAAGGATTTGCAGATCAATTCTGGCTTATTTTCAAATTTTGTAGAATTCCCTGTCTTGTTCATTCAGTCGTAGACTCATGGTATGACTTGGCCCTGGGTGAGAATTCACTACTGTAATTCAAATTGCATGTCCTAACTAATAGTGGATTAATCCTATATCTTCATATGAAAGAGATCTTATTATAAATAGCAAAACTCACTTTATTACAGTTTTATCATTCCCTAGCAATATATTAACTGATAATTGCTAACATGTAAAATCTTTTTATATTTTGGCATAAAAGCCATATATAAATAATTTGTTAACACCTTTCTGATTTGATTCTTCTTTGAATATTACCTGCTGACAGATTTCTGACATTTTTAACACAGTTAAAAGGTGAATATTTTATTATACACATTTTTTAATGGCTGTATTAACCCAAAGAAGAAAAAAGAAGACATTAATGATATCCACATAAATCACTATCACTGCGAGGAAGAGAAACTTGGAGGTGTAAAATTCTAGGCCTCTTACTTGATCTGCATTATGGATGTGTGACAAAAAATATAGCTTACCATTCCTTTTTCTCTTTTTTAGCTTTGGAATGGATGGCTTTGGCCAGTCAGTTGGCATTCTTGGACGCCCTGCAACAGCTTATGGATTCCGCCCCGATGAACCTTACTACTATAGCTATGGATCTCGATGAAGTCATCACTTTCCATGAGTATTCTCAGTTTAGAAGAAATCTGTGTGGGTTGGGTGAACTTTGAATCTTGGCCTAATAATGCATGTTGATACTATCGTGAGTCTGTGTTTCTTTTATTTTTCCATGTTGCTAGCTGCAGATTAACTCCAACTCCTCTGTCTTCTGTTAAGTACAGTTGGTGGTGACACTGTTCACTCATCAAATCACATCTTGATGCTGAATAACATTTCCCATGAGACTTAAAATTAAATGTTGAAAAGCTACAAGACTGGAAAACAAACACTACATTATGTACATTAAGTGACTAATTTAATTTCTATTAAAAAGAACCATACAATGCAAATGAATGAAAGTCATGTGTTTGTATTTAATCAGTTTCATTAGGAGTTATTTGCTGGTGTAAGGTACACATGAATTTTATTTTTTTTGCCCTTTTTTCTTGCTTGTAAACTCTTGAGTATTTCATGTGATATGTGCTACCTCTAAAATTTATATAAAGAACATCACCTTTTTATTCCATGCCACATGCCTGAAAGGTTCCTCCCCAAAATTATTAACTATGAGTTTTCAATTAACAATGAAACATATGCCATAAGTTATGTTATTTATGAGTATAGTCTCTTTAGCAATTTGAATTCATGGTTTTCTAATTGTAATATAAAAAACCTGGGACAACTAGTATAAGTGATACAGGATTAGTATTGGGCTTTTAATGTTTATTCTTCATGAAATTTAGTATCTAAAGTATGGAAAAGCTAATTAAAAGCTTAATTGAGGAAAAGTAAGGAACAGAATATTTCATTCACTTAGGTACTCATTTCCCATTTGTTCACTTGTTTTTATAACATTTAAGTAGCAAGAAGTAGAGAGACATTATGATTTAAAATGAGTTTTTATAATAACAATGTTATAATGTTGAAAAATTTACTTAAACTAATAAAATAAAAAAACTAAGCAAATAAAATAAATAATTATAATCAGAGATATTCCTTCATCACCTGCTATGGAAAGAAATTTGAGGCTTCAAAGAGAATACATAGATCAAAGACAAGACTTCTGTCCTTGAATTTAAAATGTCATTGATCTAACTACATTATTTATTTGGCTTAAGTTATATTTTAAGCATAGAATAATAGAGTTGGAAAGAGCCTCTGAAATAGCTTAGTCCATGTACTTACTTGAGAAACCAATCACATAAAAAATTTAAATATGATCAACAGATACTCTAACTACCTGCTATGTATAAGGAAGTATGAGATGCTCCCTAGAGAATGTGAGTCTAAGATATGATTTGTGCTTTTCAACTCACAACCAAATTGATCTTTTGGAAAACATACATCTATTTGTCTTAGTTCCTATTTTAACCATAAAATATTAAAGCTCGAAAGGGCCTTACAAATAACCCTGTTCAACTCTTATTTTTACAGTTGAAGAAACTGTGGGCAGAAAAGGTTAAATGACTTGCCTGTGCATATAGTCAGTGACATAACCTGTCTCCTTGTTTCCAGTTCAGCAATCTCAATACTATATACCTTGCTTTGTTATTTGTCATATATACAAAGTATAAATACACATAAGTGACATTAATAGAAAAATAAATGTTCTATAGCTTAAACTTCTCTCATATTGTTATAAACTGCTTTAAGAAAAACACCCTCAACAATTCATAACATTTCTAGGGCTGTGCTCACTGAAGTTTACATGCACATGCTCACTCTCCCTATATGTATATTTTTTAATTTTAGGACTTTACAAATTTAGAAATTGGGAGCTATCTGCTCAGGCATGAACTGGTTTACTGTTGCACTATTTATGTAAGAAAGTTTTGTTAAAGAAATTAATAAGGAAGAATATCTAAAATTATTATATACTTAAGAGAACAAAAGGGTTTGGCCTTGGGCACTTTTAGAAATACTATTCATATTGTAAGTCAAATATCCTGGCCTCACCAGATTTTGACTACAAATTAAGATCATATTGACTTTAATAACTAAGTTGCCATGGCTTCAAGGCATGTTTTATAACTGGAAATTATTTATTCTCAAGAGTTCTTTGCTCTCAGAGTGTGATAAGCTGCTTTCTCACATGGGGCCAGTAATAGGTTTCTCATGTTCTGGTTCCTTCTCTCACCCCCAGATGACCTTCTCTATGTTGGTCATCTTCATGAGATCACAACTGCTCCCCACCATGGGAAAACCACTACGACATCTGCTCAGGACATGGAGAAGAAAACACTGCTCTCCCCTTTCTTACTCCCTTCCATATGTGTAGCACACTTGTTGCTTAATCCTGCACAGCACAACAGAACTGAAGCTGAAGCTGCATGTTTATCATGACTCTCCAGAGATTTCAGTGATAAGAGAAGAGATATATCATACAAAATAACTTGCTACTGTTACAAGAGCTAGTAGACACAAGGCTTTCACTTGGCTTGCAGGCAGGACCAACTTACTGCATGCCACCAGGAATACACCCCAGGAACCTTTAGAACTCAAAGACTAGGCCAAATTGTCAGAAGGTCCCACAGAAAAGAGAATGGTTTTTTTTCAACCCACTTGAAGGCCTATTTTCAGAATCTGTGTTCCTTCTTCCAAGATTAATTTTTACTAATACCTAGTCATCAGGATTTTATAGATCCTGTATATTTTAAGTCATGAAACAAAGAATATGGGAGAAATATAAACTATCTGCCTACTTTTTCCCCAAGTGGTACCCAGAGGGTTTTTTTCTGAATCTAGCCAACTATCCTGGTTATTGGCAAATTGGCCCAAATTCTATCATTGAAGATAGATTGAGGTTTTCAGTGATGTGAACCATTGTGTTACTTTGTGTCTTTGTTGCTAGTTTAGTGGAAATTTGGAAAATATTAACATCTAAAATCCCATATACACGTTTGTGTTAGGTTTCTGCAGAGAGACAGAACCCACAAGAGGGAGGGAAAAAGGGGAGATAGAGAGATAGATGGATGAGTGGCAATTTATTAGAGCAATTGCTGTGTATGATTATAGAGGCTGATATGTTCCACAGCAGGGTGTCTACAAGCTGAAGAACCAGGAATGCCAGTAGTATGGCTGCTGGAGTCTGGAGTCCTTAGAACCAGGGACACTGATTGGGTAACTCTCAGCCTAAGACTGAAAGCCTGAAAAACTGGGGAGCCACTGGTATAAGTCCTGGAGTCAAAGACCAGAGACCCTGGAGTTCTGATGTCCAAGAGCAGGAAAAGGCTGCCCCAGTTCCTGGAGAGAGAGAGAGCAAATTTACCTTCCTCTGCCTTTTTGTTCTGTCAGGGCCCACAGCTGATTGAATGGTGCCTGCCCACATTGAGGCGGGTCTTCTCCACTCAGTTCACCAGCTCACATGCCAATCTCCTCCAGAAACCCCCTCACAGACACACCAGAAATAATGCTTTACCAGTTATCTAAGTACCGTTTAACCCAGTCAAGCTGACACCTAAAATTAACCATTACAACATTCTAGCCAGGTCCCTAAAAGGCTACAAAATTGAAATGAGAGTACATAAGGCTTCGTTATATGTTCTTTCTGGAGCACAGCAGAACCTCCCTACTATTTGGGATTAGGACTTGTCTGAAATAGACATTAAATAATAATACTGAAAAAAAAAATCAGTGATATGGAAGAAAAACTTGAGAAGCTCTCTGAGAAGGCAGAGGAAATGGGTATACATGAAATAATAAAAAAAAGATAGAAGGTAAATATCAGAACACCAACACTTTTGCCTAGTAAGTTTTCCAACTAAAAAGTCCTTTTCAAAAGGTACAGGCACAGAGTAAACGGGCAGAGTAAGATGGCTGAGTAGAAACCTCCAGCAATCATCCTTCTGCACAAACACTAAATTCAACAACTACCTCGGCAAGGAAGCACCTTCAGAAGAACCAAAGATCAGGTGAGTGACCACAGTACCTTGTTTTAACATTATATCAATAGAAGAGGGTAGGAAAGACAGTCTTGCATAGCCTACACCACCCCTCCCCTCATCCCCTCTGCAATGCAGCACCAGCATGCCAACTGGGGATTGAATCTGTGCCCGAAGGGGTGATTGTGAGACTTTGAAGAAGTGATTGTGAGACTTTGCATTGGAACTCGGGGCCTCCCTGACACAGGGGAACACAGCATATGGCAGAACTCTGCGGGAACCCACAGAGGAAACATTTAGACCACCCTGGTAAGAGGGAAATCATACACCCTCAAACCCAAGTTCTGGCTAGCCCCATCTACCAGCTGACAAAAAACAGCCTGGAGGCTGGAATAAATTCATTAGGCAGTCATGCCACAAAGGCTGCAATCCTTGGGCAGTTCCTGCAGCTGTTCAGGCTCAGGCTGGGTCTTGGGGTGCATGTGGCCCAGTGAGACACCAGTGGTGATAGCCAAGACAGTGCCTGTGTCACCCCTCACCCTATTCCAGGCAGTGCAGCTCAGGGAGAATCTTCTTCCACTTGAGGAAAGGAAAGGGAAGAGATCAGAGGACTTTGTTTTGCAACTTGGGTGGGTACCAGCTTGGCCACAGTAAAATAAAGTACCAGGCAGACTCCTGAAGCCTCTGACTCCAGGCCTTGGTCCCTGGGTAGCATTTCTAGACCTACCCTGGCCCACAAGGGACCATGCTGCCCCGAAGGGAAGGACCCAGTCCTGGCAGGATTTACCACCTGCTGACTGAAGAGCCCTTGGGCTTTGAATAAACATCAGAGGTAACCAGGCAACAGTTACAAAGGGATTTGGGTGAGACTGGATTGGCTTCAGGTGTGATTTGGTGCAACCCTAGCTACAGTGCCCATGAGGAGTGCCCACATCACTCTTCCCCGAACTCCAGCAACCCAGCACAGAGTGAATGAAGAGAGAGACTTGGCCTGGTAATCCAGGGAATCCTGCATTTTATCTAAGTCCACAAAGGTGGTACCACCAGGAGTCTGCAAGAGTCACAGCATTACTAGTCTCGGGATACTCACAATGCCAAAATAGCTGTAGTGACCAAAAACTTAGATCACAACACTCAATTCCCTTTGAATATCTGGAAATCCTTCTCAAGAAGGATAGGTTCAAACAACCCCAGACTGTGAAGATTAAAATAAATACCTAACTTTTCAATGCTCAGACATCAATGAACATCCACAAGCCTCAAGAACATCCAGGAAAATATGACCTCACCAAATAAACTAAAGAAGGTATAAGCGACCAACCCCAGAGTGATGGAGTTATGTGTCCTTTCAGACAAAGAATTCAAAATAGCTCAATGAGCTTTAAGGCAACACAGAGAAGGAATTCGGAAGCCTATCAGAGAAATTTAATAATAAGAATGAAAAACTAAAAATAAGCAGAAATTCTGGAGCTGA